GTGATGGGTTTAAAGTATGCTGCTTCTGTGGAACCATAAGCTTCAATTTCTGCTTTCAAGAACACTGAAACTTGGGAACCAGCAGTTAGCGTAATGGCTATGTCGCTGGACTCTCACGTAGTCGACCACGGTTTGCGTCCTGGACCCGGTGGCTTAAAACATGCCGGGTGTGTGTGCGTGCATGCCCAAGATCCCGAGAGGAGAATGGAGGAGAAGGGATTGTGGCGTGACCATCCCCCCTGGGGGGTGATTTCTCACTTTCTGTCTCTATGTCTCTCTCTGTCTGTCTGGCAAGCACACGCGCCCTATAGTGAAAACCTCTCCAAAAAAAAAAAAAAAAGAACATTGAAGCTTTTTAAAAGATGTAATAAAAACATTCACATTTAAGTAAATGCCATGTGCATCAAATTTTAACACATTGGAAATCACCTGTACCAGATTTCGAGCTAATCCTCTTGCTGTTTCTGTTTGATGAATAACTGTTATGAGGTCACAGAGTGAGCTGTTAAAATAATTTTTAAAAAAAAACTATTTCCTCATGTGAATTAGACCTTTCTCAGTACTGTGCGACTCAAACAAAAGATGAAAATAAACTGGCTACTAAGGCAATATAAGAAGGCAACTGTCAGGACCAGCAGATGGTGTATTGGCTATGTCACTGGACTCCCATGTAGTCGACTGTGGTTTGAGTCCTGGACCCGGTGGCTTTGACCCATACTGGGCACGTGGAGGAGAAGGGATTGCAGCATGGCCATCTCCCCTGGGGATGATTTTTTACTTTCTGTCTCTGTTTCTCTCTCTCTATTTCTGGTGAGCACACATGCCCTATAGCAAAAATCTCTCCAAAAAAAAAAAGAAAGGTAACTGTTAATCTCTGATTTTAAACGTTGTGTGTATTATACTATTATACTGGATTAATACAAAACTGCTTTAACATGTATTAAATTATGGGGTTCTTCCTTAACATTTCAACAAAGAAAAAGATACCTCTTTCTTCTTTTTTTAAAATTTGCTATAGGGAGAATGCACTTGTAGGGAGGGTTGGATAGAGAAAATGAGGAAGCATCTTCCAGATGGGATGACCACATTACAATCCCTTCTTCATTCTCTTCTTGGGATATTGGGCATGCACAGCATGCAACAGCATGTTTTTCAAGTTGCTGGGTCCAGGAGGACTCAAACCTCACAATTGGCCATGTGAGATCCAGCTGCCTTCACCACTACACCACCTCACTGGGTTTCTTTCCTTATGAGAGAGAGAAAGGTATTTTTGATCGAGTCTTGCTCTTGTGATCCTCTGCTATAGCCTTTTAGTTTGTTAGGATTACGAGTGAAGGCAACTGCTCCCAGCCTGTTTTGGTTGATCCAGGATCCAAATCCAGTTCTCTTGTGTGGCTCTGGCCTCGAGCAACAGCACTCTACCGCTTGTGCCACCGTGTCTGGGCTAGAGTACCTCTCTTTAAAATGAAAACATTTGAAAACCACTGCTTTGGATCATGTTGCAGAATTTCTGGGGCTGGAAGAATCTTTGCAATAAATCTAGACTCCAGCTCTCTTGTATAGGCCAGTTGTGTATTTTACCCTACAGCAGTTGTATCCTTCACTTTCTCCTGGAAAATTACCCTTTCTACATTACAAACAGACTTTGTGAGACTGTTGTTCAAGACAGACTGCTCTTTTCTAGACTACACTCAGGTGAATCAGACTCTCTCCCCCAGGAATTTTAATTCTAAAAGGTCTACTTTAAGGACTGGGAGGGCCTTATCCCTATGCCCTTGTCCTGAAAACACTGTCCATAGTTCCTGGGACTTGGCTTCTCTAGTGCCCTTCAGGGTCTTGTGTACTTTCTGAGGCTTGTTGTGTGGCCTTTCCTTTGAAGTCCTCAAACCCCTTTAGTAGACTAACTCCCCTTCCTACTGCCTTTTTTCAGGCTAGACAGAGTTGTCTCTGCTGTTTGCAACTAAACTACTCTGATTTACTCCTAACTTTGTAAATGGGGAAATATAGCACCAAAAGAACTTGTTGGGCTGACCCTGTGGCTTAGTGGTTAAAGGCGGTATCTTCACATGGCCAACCATGTGGTTTGAATCCTGACCCCAGCGGCTTGAAAAACACACAAGGCATGTGCGTATGTGTGCCTAAAATCCTGACAGAATGGGGAAATGGAAGAGAAGGGATTTTCTGACCATGCCCCACTGAGGGGTGCTTTCTCCTTCTCTGTCTTTGTCAAGTGCATGTGCCCTCTGGCTAAATGTTTTTAAAAAAGTGACTTGTTCAAGGCCACACTGTGATAACTTTGGATACAAGTTTAAGGTTATGTCCTGCAGATAGAGATGATCCTGAATCAATAGTCACAAAATCAGAACAATCTTTATAGGACAGAGTTCACCCTATATGTGTATGTGAGAGAGAAAACGAGATAAGAGAGATTGAAACAGAATGAATAGTGGTGTTGGAGATGAGGGTTGCATGTCTCAGAGCCTCATAACAGTGGACCCATAATTCTGAGCCACACATGTGAGTTTCAGTTCTGGTCATTAAACCAGGCAAAGTTGCAGAGGCTCAGAACCATGTTCTCAGGACCCTAACGCTTGGGGAAGGATTCTGAAAAAGATGGAAGAATCTCAGAATCACAAACTGAAGGGGAACTTGGGCAGGTAAATGCCTAAATGGGGACCAGCTGATAGTGTAATGGTTACATCACTGGACTCCCACATAGTTGACCATGGACCTGGTAGCTTGAAACTCACGCCAGGTGCATATGTGTACTTTCCCAAAATCCTGAGAGGAAAATGGAGAAGGGATTGAGCCATGCCCATCCCCACTGGGGGGTGATTTCTTGCTTTCTATCTTTTTGTCTCTTTCTTTCCAGTAAGCACACATGTCCTAGAGCAAAAATCTCTATTTAAAAAAATGCCTACATGACTCATCCTTGAGGATGAGTCAACGAAAGCAAGAACTGAGATTCTGAGGGATTGGAACATATATACTACAATGGTTCTAGTCTCTAATAAGGGCCAATGGACATGGCCTATAGGATCACAAGCTCTATTAGAAGAAGATCCAGTATTCCCCAGCACCTGGAATGTGGTAGATGCTCAATATACATTTGTTGAATGAATGAATGAATGAATGAAGAAATGAATGGGTTGGTCTTCCTTGTGGTTATCTAGACCAGGAAGGCAACTGTCTTGTTACTAATGGACAGGGTCTTTAGCTTTGTATCCCTGGCCTTACCCCGGGGGCCAAATAGTGCCTGGTTGGTGAACAGTGTCTGGAAAACAGAGGAGCAGTGGCTGCAATATGTTTTCAATAGTCTCATGACTGATGACATTTACTCCACAGCAGCTGTCATACAAGGAACAAAAGGTTCTTGTCCTGTAAGCTTGCAGCCTAAATGACAAAACAAAACAAGCAACTGGCAGCTTTTCTATGGTGTGTGTGTGTACGTGTGTGTGTGTGTTGTTGTTGTTGTTCTTGTGTTAAAGGCCTAGATAAGCAATACTACGTTGAATATATAACAAGAGCAGCAGACATGGTGTTTTTCCCATTTCATAAACAAGTATATGGAAACCTAGAGAGACAAAAGATTTACCTGGTGTGCAGAGCTGTGTCGACCTGAAGTACCCACCTTCTCGGGCTTTGACCAGGTGGCTGGCATTCTATTTAATCCTGAGCCTGGCTGGATAGAGAGAGGTACTCACCTGCTCATTCCCATACCAGCTATGTCACTTACAGGCACAACCTGGATTTCCAGTTGGAAAAGGGTCCTTGGAACGGAGTTCAAGAGATTTGAAAGAGGGAAGGTTGGAAGGTGGACAAGTGTCTATCCCCAAGGACAGAGATACATATTGGGTACCAGGGCTGTGGTAACTGCTCCACATTTTTCTGTCTCCTAGCCTCTCTTTAGAATCTTTTTTGGCACAACTCTTTTTTGTTATCTTCTGCTACCACCCTTGTTTCTGTATCTTGGCTCTTCCTTAGTCACAGTAATTCCTTGGGCAGCTCCAGCGGCACGGGGCACTGACGGATGGTGTCTTCTAAGTTTTCCTTCCTACTGATAGGTATGCCCCCAGACAAGCAAAACGAGTAGATGATGTCACTTGGAATCTTCCCCATCAAGGCTCTGGAAGTTTCTGCGAGACACCTCTCCCTCCCCTGGCTGACCTTTCCTTAACAGATACTGCTCCCCCTCTGAGGGTCCTACCAAAGATAGAAAGTTGTGCTTCAGTTTTGCATAGGTTGAGAATCTCAAAGGATAGAATTTTCAGGGAACAACTTGGGACATTTTGGGCAATGGGTTCCTGACAATTCAGTGCAAGGATTCCTGCCTCCTTATCAGTTGGTAGAGCGTGGTGGGGAGTGAGGAAGTATCCCTGAATCCTCGCTTCCTTGAGAGTCCAATACTTCACTGGTTGGAGAAACAACTCTAGGTTATGAGTTTAAAATTCCTGAGGGGCAATGGGTAGTGATCATTGAGCCTGGGGTGGAAGAAACCCGTAGGTTCCCACAATTCTGTGAATTCCTGGGAAAGATGGGAGGAGTTGGGCACAAATGTGCAGCTCAACAAAGGAGCACTTAAGGCTCTAGGATCTTCAGCTGCAGAGAACTACAGCAAACATCCAGTCACCACCAGCGGTTTTCTCCACAAGCCCCCTGGAACCGACAGCCTAGAGAAATGGAGTTGTATGGAGTCGTAACAGTTCTCTTTTTCCCGGGTTGTGGAGAGCGCCACAGGACTGAAAGGCAGATCCTTAATGGCTCCTTTCTCCCGGGCTGGTCTGCATTCCCTGGTTTCGAAGGCAGCCTCGGATGTTCTCCCGCTCGTACCCAGAGGCCAAATTCGGAGAAACGATTGCCCAGAGCAGCCATAGGGCAGGGACAACTAGCTTTCCCTAGCCCCAGGGTAGTGGCGCAGGCGAAGGGACTTCCGAGGTTGGGAGTGCTCGACGAAGAGACTGGGACGCTTCGGGTTCTTTAAAGAAACAGCCACACACCTATGAGCTGCCTACATTTATTTGGATTTTAGCTCAAGCCAGGTCTTCTGAAGCTCCGCCTCCTGAAAGCCACGCCCGCGCCCATTTGCAAAAGCCATAACCATTGCCTGCCCCCGCGGTCACCCCGGGTCCGCGTAGCACCGCCTCCGCGGTTCCGAGTGGGTGCGCTCAGCAGCCGGGGTTGAAGACGCGGCAGGTGCAGGAGCTGCGGAAGAAGCGGCACTGGCAGAAGGCGCACGGGTCACAGCAGGCCGGGGCCGGCGGCTTGCAGCTGTCACGGGTGGCCACGCAGGGTACGGGGGGCGGTGGCCGGGACCTCATCGTCTTCTCCATCGAAGCCTTTTTCTGCGGAGAAAATATCGGGGCTACCCAAGCCAGCCACGCCGCTCCACCGGTCCTCTCCTGTGCCAGGGAGCTCCTCCGGCCTTGGAGGTCTCAGACTAGACACCCCTGCCCAGCTGTCCTCCGCTGGCTTGACCCATGCCCATGAGTCACCCTAAAGGGTCCCTGCCCTGCTTCCCTAATCAGGTGCCTGGCCTCCATCCTCCTTCAGACACACCAGGTTCTTGCCTGGTCCTTTTCTCTCCCTAAGGGCTCCACTCAGGCCCACAGGTTTTTACTACATCTCTATGTCTAACCGCTTGCAGTCTAAGCACAATCCCTGCCAGTTCTGTTTTCACAATAGAGCTGGATTCCATCCAGTTCACTACCCTGGGCCAGGCTGCTACCTTCTCCCCTGGGTCGCTGTGGGCCTCTTACAGTCCGTCTTCCAGTGCACCAAAGGGACCTCTCTGAAGACAGGATAGCATCCCACCCCGGCAGAAAGCCTATCAGTAGTTTCTCTTTGCACTTAGAACGGAAATATGAACTTCCTTTCGGCCCTCAGGTCTTCTGATGTTCGCCCTTTGCCCAGCTCTTGGACCTGTTTTTACCTCTTTGCTTCACTGGGCTTTCTTCTGAGCACTGAACACAGCACTAAGTTCCTGCTGCAGGACTTCCAGCTTGCTACTCCCTATCCTGGCTGGCTGTATTGCTGGCTGTCCAATACGGTTAGCTATTCCTCATATGTGGCTGAGTACTTCTAATGCGTTTAGTACAACTAAGGAAGTGAATTTTCCCTTTTTAATTAATTAAAATTTAAAACTGAAAATATAAAATATTTTCCTCCTTAGATGCAAGCTGATTGTCTTACTAGGACTATATTTTGCTTTGTTGAAAATTTATTATTGGTGGGACTGGCAGGTGGCGTGAGAGTTAAATGTGCTAAACTCCCACATGATTGACTGTGGTTTGAGTCCTATACCTGATGGCTTCATGCCCATGAGTCACCCTAAAGGGTCCCTGCCCTGCTTCCCTAATCAGGTGCCTGGCCTCCATCCTCCTTCAGACACACCAGGTTCTTGCCTGGTCCTTTTCTCTCCCTAAGGGCTCCACTCAGGCCCACAGGTTTTTACTACATCTCTATGTCTAACCGCTTGCAGTCTAAGCACAATCCCTGCCAGTTCTGTTTTCACAATAGAGCTGGATTCCATCCAGTTCACTACCCTGGGCCAGGCTGCTACCTTCTCCCCTGGGTCGCTGTGGGCCTCTTACAGTCCGTCTTCCAGTGCACCAAAGGGACCTCTCTGAAGACAGGATAGCATCCCACCCCGGCAGAAAGCCTATCAGTAGTTTCTCTTTGCACTTAGAACGGAAATATGAACTTCCTTTCGGCCCTCAGGTCTTCTGATGTTCGCCCTTTGCCCAGCTCTTGGACCTGTTTTTACCTCTTTGCTTCACTGGGCTTTCTTCTGAGCACTGAACACAGCACTAAGTTCCTGCTGCAGGACTTCCAGCTTGCTACTCCCTATCCTGGCTGGCTGTATTGCTGGCTGTCCAATACGGTTAGCTATTCCTCATATGTGGCTGAGTACTTCTAATGCGTTTAGTACAACTAAGGAAGTGAATTTTCCCTTTTTAATTAATTAAAATTTAAAACTGAAAATATAAAATATTTTCCTCCTTAGATGCAAGCTGATTGTCTTACTAGGACTATATTTTGCTTTGTTGAAAATTTATTATTGGTGGGACTGGCAGGTGGCGTGAGAGTTAAATGTGCTAAACTCCCACATGATTGACTGTGGTTTGAGTCCTATACCTGATGGCTTGCTTTCTCACTTTCCCGTTCTCTCTGTCTCTCACTGGTCAAATTAACTAATAATAATCATCATTACAGTAAATTAATTCTTAAAAAGAAAAAGAAAATTTATTATTGGAATTGTGTCAATTGCACACCAGATTTCAAAGACTTAGCACAAAAAAAGAATATAAATATTGCAGTAACTTTTAAAATGTTAATACTTTGAATATATTGGGTTAAAGAAAAAAATTAATTGCATTTGTTTCTTTTTATATTTTTAAAATGTGGCTACTAGAAAATTTAAAATTATATATGCTTTTTACATTATATTTATATTGAGCATTGCTGCTCCAAACTACTGAGTTTTTCAGTCTTTATTTATATACTGTTTCCTTAGAGGCTTCCCTAACCATGCTTCCCTCTCGTACTCTTATTACCAGGCTTTGATTTGTTCATAGCCTTTATATCTGATTTTACTTATTTATTGATTTATGTGATGTTCACCTATTTTTTCCCACAAGAATGTAAATTCTGTAGAAGCAGGAACATACTGCTCTCATTCACTTCTGTATTTCTAGTGTCCGGCATGTAAATATATCTGTCAGCTATATATTCCTCTCTGTTAATCATGTCATCTGCTAATTTGCAACCAGCAAAACAGGTCCAGAGAGGAGAAAGAACTTCATCAAGATCTCACAGTGCCAGGTTATACCTCCCAATAACTATTGGGTCATCAGAAAAGTCATGACAATTTCATGCAGAAAATCATGGAAAAGGGGCTGGCTGGTAGCATGGTGGGTAAGGGCACTGGACTCCCACAGAGCCCACTGTGGTTTAAGTCCAGGAACTGGACTTAAACTTGCTTTCTCACTTTTTCCTCTCTCTTTTTCTCTCTCTGTCCTTCTCTAGAGCCAAATTAAAATAAACAAATAGAGGGAACCAGCAGTTAGCATAATGGCTATGTCGCCGGACTCCCATGTAGTTGACTGCGGTTCGCGTCCCGGACCCGGTGGCTTAAAACTCACGCCGGGCGCGTGTGCGTGCGTGCCCAAGATCTCGAGAGGAGAATGGAGGAGAAGGGATTGCGGCGTGGCCATCCCCCCTGGGGGGTGATTTCTCGCTTTCTGTCTCTATGTCTCTTTCTATCTGTCTGGCGAGCGCACGCGCCCTATAGCGAAAACTTCTCCAAAAAAAAAAAAAAAAACCTAACAAATAAATAAAGTTAAATAAAATAATTCTTAAAAAAAACAGAAAAATACATCATGACTTTTCTGACAACCCAATAGTTCAGTGCTCCCTGCTCTAGTTACAGTTGATTTTATATATTGAAACACACTAAGACAGAAATGATCTAAGTATTTTAACAATGCCTTAATTTAGTATTTCCCAGTGTGGAAACTCATATTACCATGGTATGATTATAGGTGGCACTTGAACATTTAATGGCTCTGAACCACATGGTGAGAAACATTTTTCTCCCCCAATTTCTTTCAACATGAAAAGCTCAGTTTGGTGTCAATATATCCTTCACACTGCTCAGTTTGGGTGCCTTTATGTCCCTAATGTTTCTAATGTGACCTTTAACAGAGAGAGCAGGTCTCAGATTTAGAATTTTTGGCAGGTAATAACATCCAGCTAGAGTTCGGTTTATCTTTTTTTTTTTAACTTGTTTTATTCACTTTAAAATGTCTTCGCTTTATTTATATAGTTACCTTTTATAAGTAGCTAGTGATACTAGTTTATCTTCTATTAATGGCAAGTGGTAGTATCACAGTTTTACATTTTTAAGTTTTTACTTTAAATAAATATGTGAGAAGACTTCAAAAAGTTCACAGAAAGTGGAATTAAAGTATAATTTCATTTGGGTGCAAAAAAATCAGAAATTCATGCCTAGATTTTTTTTTTTTTTAATTTGCCTGAAAGCACATTCACTTTCTAGAGAGGGAGAGACAGAAAGCACCGCACATGGGGACTGGTCACACTGCAAATCCTTCTTCTCCATTTTGCCTTCCTTTTGGAATTTTGGGCACACACACGTGTCCAGTATGTTTCTCAAGTTACTTTGTCCAGCATGCGAACTGTGCAGTCGGCCATGTGAGATCCAGTCCCACAATCAAGAGGTCACAGGCTGACCCCATGCGTAGTTTTTCATAATACACATTTTCTATGAACTTTTTAAAAGACCTCCTCCTACCCCCATTAAATAGGTGAAACTCAAATGTGGTAAACGTGAAAGTGGTTCTGAAATGACTGAAGCGTGGGAAATATTGCATTTATCCAAAGAATGAGTGATGGTGAAATTGCAGGCAGAGGGTTAACCAAGATAGGAAACTGCTTTTCAGCAGGTAAGCTATTTTGTTCAGTAATCTTCAAATCTCTGGGCTTCTCTGAGGGTTTGGGTCAGGGCTATAGGTCAGGAACCTTTAGGTATTTTTTAGTTTCTTTTGTTGATGCAGGCCTGGAGAATCAGTTAGCGCCCAGGCAGAGCTTGGGATCCTTCCCTTTGTAAGTCTGATTCCACCCCAACAATTAGAACTCCCAGGCCTACCTTGGAAGATTTCTTCTTTTCTGCTTCTTTTCTGCTGATCGCTTTGGATTTTTTGTTCAGTGCTTCAAAAAGAGACAGAGGAGCAAAGCCAGATGTTTCTATGGGCCCTGGGTTGCAAGGAAAGTAGGAAGACTAGAGGGGTTCTGAAAACTTTCGTGGTGAAGGAGGAGAGGAGGTTGGCTGGATGAATCTTGGTGGGACTCAGGCCAACAGTTTCTTGTTAGCCTGGCTGCTGATCTGGGGCCAGAGACTGAGAGAACTGTTTTCTGAAGGAAGGCAAACAGGAAATCCAAGGAGGCCTTGCAGTTGACTGTGGCATCCACAAGGGGCCTGGTCCCTTGGCCTGGTTGTCCCTGGGCCACTCAGAACAGCTACAGATGCCCCTTCTGTAGACACCAGTCTGGCAGGCACAAGGCCACTGTGATACTCTGAAAATGGACTCAGTATTTTGTACATGGCTGCACCTGTGTTTTCTGTATTCATATTTTCCACTTGCAGAGGTTTAGAGCCAGGCAGACCTGATTTGAATCCTGACTGTGCCCTGACACCTGTATGGTCTTGGGTAACCTCATTAACTTTCTTGAGACTCAGTTTTTTCATCTGCCAGAATGGTTCTATATACTTTAACCTATTGTGTTGTCTTAAGGATAAATGAGGTATGTTTATAAAGTGAAAAGTCTTGCATATCGGGACCAGCAGATGGTATAATGGTTACGTTGTTGTACTCCCACATAGTTGGCTGTTGTTCATGCCCTGGACCCCAAAAATCTCTCTAACCAAAAACAAAACAAAACAACCCAACAACAAAAAAGTCTTACATATCAAATACGATCAATGAATGTTGATACTCCCTCCCTACTTTTCCCTTCCTGTACTTTCCTAATATGTCTAGAATATCCTCTTTTCCTAGTAAGAGGCAACTCAGTAAGGGGATATTGTTTTGAGTTTAGGTTCCACAAGTAAACACCTGAGATTAAATTCTGGCTCAGCAAATTAAGAACTGTGTGATCATGTGCTAGTTACTTAACTTTTCTAAGCCTCAATTTACTCAACTATGAAATATTAACAAAAACATTACTCTCCTGGGGACCAGCAGGTGGTGTGGTGGTTAAGGCGCTGGATACTTCCATGTGGCCAACCACAGTTCAAGTCTTGAACCTGGTGGCTTGCTTTCTCACTTTCCCTCTCTCTCTCTCTCTTGCTTGTGTGTGTGTATCTCTGGTCAAGTGAAAATAAATGAATGAATAAATAAAATTAAAAACAACAACAACAACAAAAACATCATTCTCCTTATAGTGCCTAGCACACAGTATGTCTACTACTATCAGGTGAAGTCAGACCAGAAGATCTCCAATGCCAGGCTCTAATGTTCCTCATATTTTTCCCTGAGTAGTTATTCTCTACATTGGCCTGACAGAATTGGCTCATGTCAGACTTGGTTATATTCTGCAGCTTTTCCTAAAGTTTGTTATCATTGACAGGACTTCTGTAATCTTTAAGTTTCAGAAATGCTATGTTAAGGCCAGCCAGTGGCACGATGGTTAAAGTGGCTAGATCTCATATGGTCAACTGTGTGGTTTAAGTCCCAGACCTGGGGGCTTGAAAGGCATACCAGGGGTGTGTACAGGTATGCTCAAAATCCTGAGAAGAGAATGGGGGGGGAGGGATTGCGTCATGGTTATCTCTCTCTCTCTCTCTGTCTCTCTCTGGCAAGCATATGTGCGCTATTGCAAATTTAAATAAATAAATTAACCAAGAAAGAAAAATGCTATGTTAAACCATGTTTACTAAGCCTCTGGATTCAAGCTTTTTCAGAGCTGCTAACATGCTAAGCTGCATATTAGATTGGTGGCATGCAGGGCTTTCCCAAACCACATGAGTTCAGGGATACTTTATTCTCCCAGGATTATTTCACAAGATAAATATGAAAAGAGCCATGATAATTGCAATAGATCCTGGTGGCAGCCAGGGGAAGCAGGCTTGACATCCTATAGCCTCCTGTCATGGGCCAGAGCTTAGAAGCTGGGCCCCAGGCCAAACCACTTACCCACGATAGATACAGAAGGAAAATCCAACAGGTTCATGGAGGAGTTACTCCTTAGGCGCCTGTCCTCTCTGGGCTTCTCTTCAGGTGCCAAGTGGCTGAAGGCAGTGAGGAAGTATAGGAAGACCAAAAGGATGGCCAGGAACAAGCGAGTGACATCCATTGTAGCAGCCTGAGTGGGACAAAGAAGGTTGTCAGGCAAACGGGTCAGGGACAGTGGCAAGAGCACGTGCCTTCCTGCTTTTTTTGGGCTGGTGGTCTGACTCTCTTCCACAAGTGTCTCAGTGGAGAACTGGCAAGGCTTAGGTCAGGAAGGGGAACTGATGACAGAAGAAACAGAAAAGGAGAGATAAGAGACCGAGAGAAAGATAAGGGGAAGAGATTGAAACAAAAAGAAAAGAAATGCATTGTATTGGTTTTTGCTTCCCAAGGATGGGATTTTTTTTTTTTTTTTGGTCAGAAAGTGCCAGTATTCACCAGAAAGAGAGAAAGAGAGAGAGAGATAAAG